TTTGACTACATTGTTTTCTGTACTTTAATTCAATGTTGAATTTCCATGATGAACCTTAATCATTATTATTTTTGGTATTGGCCAAAAATCACGTCCGGCGAAGAGAAATTTGAGATGTGTCTCGACGTTCACTGTAAACAGATCTAGAGACATAAAATACGGTGCACTGAACTGTAGTCATTGGAAAATCGTTAAGTAATCATTGATGTGTCATTTCGACACAAGCGGACAAACCATTTACAAAATAAATGCCTACGTTTGCGGTGACCTTTCAGTTATTCTGTGACAAAAATCACTGATTTTTTGTGACTCGAGTCGAGTCGAGTCATTTAAAGAAGTGACTTGAGTCGAATCGAGTCAGTAGGGCAAGAAGGTCGAGTCGAGTCGAGTCACAGTGTGTAATCGAGTCGAGTCGAGTCGAGTCAAGTATTTAGTTCGAGTCAATTCGAGTCACAAATATTTTTTTTTAATTTTACATTCCGGCTACTACATGTGTTAACACCACATTTGACTCTTAATGAAAATAAAAACGGGGTGCAAGGTGATTGCCATTAACTAATGTATGTATATTATGTATTTACATAATTCGCGAACATTCTAACATGACGTGAACAAAAACCGGCACTGGCGTAAGTCATTGCAAATAATTTTTGCAAAGTTTTGCTTTTATTTTTGGGACTCGAGTCTTATAAGCCTTCCTCGAGTCGAGTCGAGTCATTCTGATGAGGAACTCGAGTCGAGTCGAGTCGAGTCATTGACTCGAGTCATTACAACTCTGTTCTGTGAAGTGACGACCTTTCCTTCTTGCATCGCTAGTGTCACTAATATAAAACGGGTTTTCATTTGAAAAGGTGTAAGACAGAGTCTTCATGCTTTTGTGTGTTCGGTTTACGAAAATTATGTAAAATAAAATTATTCAATGTTTATATAATAATTATTCCAAATCTCAACGTCATACTTGTTAATGAGCATTGTCACGTGGTTTCATTTCTTGTAAAATTAACTTTTAATTTGTGCAGGTCCTACTTAAAGGCAATTTTTAATACTATATTCATTTTTATACTGCATTTTCCATGGCGTAAAGTTCAGGTGATGGGCTGAAAAATTATACGAAAATGACTATAAGTAGGCCCACCTATAACATAACCGAAAAGGGAGTTGGTCGAGCATAATATCTTTGCCTTCCACCTCTAAGACCGGGGTTTGAATCCGACCACGACTCACATGTGGATTAGATTTTAGATCACTTAATAATGATTCCAGGAATTTTCAATCCACATCAAATATGTTTCATCGTTTCTCTTTCTAGGCATTTTTAACCCTTGGTTGAAAGAGTGAACATAATTATGGTTGCACTAACTAAATTCAGCTGGCATTGACCTCGCATAGGCCTACGAGTACAAGTTGCTAATAATGTAAAATATATTTCTGAGGCTCTGAGTATCTCTCTGTCCTGTTAAACGGTGCGGACGACATTGATCTCAGGCATGCTTTAGCATAAGATCAGGACAACCAAACATCAACGAAGCTGACGGCACAAGCTGCAGATATTGCATGGTGATCAACTTTGACATAAAAACAGCGAACATGGATATCTGATGTAATGTACCTAGCTGTCAACAACAGGTCACAGAGTTCATCGCACTGGCATCACTGCAGATTGCAGACCGAAATGCCAGACAAGAGAAGTTATTGCTAGGATTGCCAAATCAACTGCTGCTATGGCAAGACTAAAGCTTGTTGACGATACCGCAAAATCGTAGTTTCGACCAAGCTTTGCTCCCTCTCTGGTTTTATCTGTGTTCGTTTATACGCTGCAAAATCGATGAGATAGAAAATTGCATCGCTGCATTCGATTGGAAATCTACAGGAAGCTGTTGAAAATACACTTGTCATTCCACGCAACAAATGACACAGAGTTCGTCACGACAGTGCATGCCTTGCCCTCATCAAGAAGAAAAATCCACAAAGTGTTGGACATCGAGCAAATGGATCCAAGACAAACCATTCTACAAGGGTGAGGGACGCCGGAAGTTCAGTTGTCTGAGATACTTGCTGGTGCAATAATACGAAAGACGGTATGGGATGGGCCCCATACAAGCTTTTACCAACGGCCGATGACAACTAATAAATTATGCTATGTTTATTGAGGTTACAGCCCGATAGTCCGAAGGTTCGATAGTCAGAAAGTTCTTCAGTCCGAAGGGTCATTAGTCCGAAGGTTCGTTCGTCCGAAGGTTCAATAGTCCGAAGATTCGATAATCCGAAGGCTCGATAGTCCGAAGGGCCCATTAGTCCGAAAATAGAATAAGGTTAATTAATCTGAAAGATCGTTAGTCCAAATAGACGATAGTTCGAAAGTCCGATCGTTCATAGTCCGAATAAATGATAAGGTCGATAGTCCGATACGGTACGGTTTGATAGTCCGAATTGACAATAAGGTTCGATAGTCCGATTGAGAATAAGGTTCGATAGCCCGAATGGGCAATACGGCTCGTCAGTATGACACTTCGGACTATCGGACCTTACTGTTGATTCGGACTATCGGACCTTATTGTCGATTTCGGACTATCGGACCTTATAGTCTTTTCGGACTATCGAACCTTATTGTCAATTCGAAATAATGAACCTTCGGACTATTGCATCAAATGTTCGGATTAACGAACCTTATTTCATTTTCGGACTAACGAACCCCCTCTTATGGAAATTTTGTGCATTCGGACTATCGAACTTTCGGACTAAAGAACCTTTGGACTATCGGGCGGCCCCCGTTTATTGATACTATTGACTCTGAAGCTTTTTCCATATTTCAAACTGCGGACACACCAACATTATTATAAAAAAATAGCAAACAAAACGGTTCGTGCTCCCGTCCATTACCAATGCACCATTGATGTTGTACTTCTTATAACCAAGTTATACGCACGCACGCATAAATTATTATATATAAATAGGTTTTGCCGGCCAAATTTCAGAGGACAAAAACGTGTTCATTTTTATCAAAGTTTCGTAATTCAAGATCGAATAGTGATTCTTTCCGATATTTCATCCAATTTCTTTTCGTACAAACATGGTTTTGCTCTAATATTATTCAAGTTCGTTATGGTCATTCTCTCCAGTTTATATGTTTTCAAGATTGCATTCTTAATTTGATTTCCTGCCATCTTTTGCAGTTAGTAATGGAATTGCTCCAGGGATAGGCGCAACCAGTCTCCACATTCCGAGTACGAGGGATCAGTCTACCGCGGTCTGTCCCTTCAAAAAAGGTAAACGATGGGCCCATTGAAAAATAACTAAGGAATGAGTTCCAATCATAAGAAGCAATCAGTCATATTATTTAGAATTATTAAACGTGGTCCAGTCAGGGCAACGCAAGGGTGTAGCTCTCATCTTCTACCGGGGAGGCGGGGCAGTGGCCACACAGCGCCAGAAATATTTTAGTCTTACGTACCATTGGTTCTGATCATTGCTGATGACAAGAAACGATACGTCCTCTTTCTTGCAAGTAGGCATATACATTTTGGCAGTAATTTACTGGGAGAGAAGTGGTCGAGTCCCATCCCATGATCTCAAAAATTGTGGAATTGACTTTGTTCTTCCGCCTATTTTTTCAATTTGTGTGATTTGTTTACGAAAACCCTTTATTTCTATTTTGAGCCCAAACCAAAAAAAGCCTAATACTTCAATTTAATTGAAAAACCTTTGCATTGATAGAAAAATACACAATTTATTTTCGGGATGAATTTGGCACGAGGAGAGCAGTTCACAGGCGTGACATGAATAACAAACGTTACCTGAGGTTAAGTATTGACATGATAGAGTGCGACGCCTTCACGTTCAAAATGGCCACTGTTCAGATAATATCAATTTTGCTGAAGGCCTTCAACAAACATGTCACGAGGCGCCCAAGGGTTCACAAGTACTTGCTCTCATAAACAAGGTCAAAACAATCTGATTTAAGCGATCTCTAAATCTTCAAACGTAGCTTGAAATCACGCACCTTTTATAGGGCAAAACAATCGTGCTCAGTGTAATGTTTAGCATGACACACTAAACAAACTATTGACAAATATTACGTATTTCGAATTATAACTCCACTTAAGTTCTTTTAATTTCGGGGGGAAACATCTCCGTAATTATTACCATTAGATTTTATACCGACATGTTTTCCAAGTTACTTAAACACTCATTTTGTTTCTCGAAGCTAGGACGAACCAGAATGATACATTCGCGAATTATACTGGACCAAATATGAAATATCTTGATGTAAATTCGAAATCGGAAATAACACTTGGGCCATCAGCCTTGGGGTTTGGTCGTTATCAAATGACGGGAATAATGGTCATTGTGATTTTTGGCAAGGTATGCACCCCTGTAGTTGGAAAATATGTGATAGCATTACAGCGGTGGCAGCTTTTTGGGTGCTATCACTTGTTTAAAAAAAAATGGCAGCCAAAACATGCTTGTACCATATATAATTAATCCAGTTCAAGGATATTGGTGGCCATTTTCGAACAAAAAAAATAAGTGATAACATCCATAAAATGCCACCGCTCACACTTCAAAGCTATCACACACCTTTCCATTCTAGATGTGCATACCTTGCCAAAAATCGCTATGAACATTGCTCTTTTCGATCATTTGATACCGCTGGCCCCATTTTTGGACCGAAGCTGATAGCCTAAATGAAGCCTAACGGCGTCCTGGAAAGAAATTTAAACATCGTTTAATGGAATTTGATACGAGCGTTATAGTAACTGGGAACATCTATATTAGCGCTCGCTCAAAATCTCATGGATAAATTGCATCTCATTAAAAAGTTCCTGCCGAGCCATCTATGAAAATGATCTGCCATGAATCATTTGACAATCTTTAATGGCCGTTATTTGCCACGATAAATTGCTCAGCGAAGTATCGGATGCCATCCATTACACTTGATCGGTGGTGATGCCACGCTTCGTCGATTCCATGTTTTATACTGATCAATCTACATGGAGCTCAAGCATGGTTGAAAAAGGGATAGTTGCGTATATAATACATGTGTATAAGCATGCAAAAAACACATGCTTTATACTTTGTGAATCTCGTACCGACTTCTTACCACTCGAACACCGATATAGCTAGTACAAGCACTGTCTTGTTGAATGGAATTTCTTCGTAATGTGAATTCGAATGTAAATTCAATATTTGGTTTTGCACTTCTATACTTGAATCAGCTTGTGTTGTGTATATACATGTAGTACTTGTATTTGTATATATATATTAATGTTCGTCGTACGTTTCAAAAATTCACTTTTCCTTATAAGGTTACCTTTACTGAACATTATTCATTGTAACATATGTTGGTCCCAATGGAAACCAGGTTTAAAACTGTTTGGGTATACCGTGGGTAAAGAAATGGAATAAATAAATAAAGTAAACATACCTTCGTAAGCACATTGCATACTTAATGATGTCTAAGAGCTTACGGGCAACAAAAATAACATGCTCACACGTGTGGGACTCGAACCAACGACCACATGCTTTGAACAGACGTCCTATCACGTCTGGAAGAAATGCCATCCTACGAAAGTGCTTGCTTGCGATACCCGCTGCTGTGCAAGACTCGCATCACTTGTGATTTCTTCTCGCAAGCCATGATGATGGGCAGCACTGAGAAAACTACCGTGTTTATGAAGTAAAGTCGGTGAATGGAAAACCTCAATATTGATAATATACACCTGTATAAAATGTGCTGGAATATATGTAAGAACATTCGGCAATGATGCAGTACGCAATCTGTGCAGTTGTTAAGAAAGATAAGTATGAAACCCGTCCAAAATCAATAAAGAAAACAAGATTTGTGAATGATTTATCGGGAATTTCTTATTAGCATACGATGCCTCATTTTCTGATTGACCCCTGTTTGCAAGCGATCTCATCTTGTTGATTTTACTTGGGTCAGATGACCAAATATTGAATGTTTAAATTTGTCGTTGCCAAAATAAGCCATGCATGTGTAGCCAAACAGAAAAGTTTATTCGGTTCTTAATTGGTAGTGCATGCAGCTACATTCTCTGGTATTGTCAATTTATTGTTTTTGGTTTATTTGAAGCAATAACAGCATAGTGTGAAAGTTAAAAAGTTAAAAATCATTCGCGCTAATTTCCCCCTCGGAGAAAAGAATTTCGGACGAATATTTGGATTAGCTTGTTGTTTGTCCTTATCTATTAATGGCTCGCTTTTTAAAATATATTTGCATGCTATTTGCCCTAACTAAAAATACCTGGATTGCAGTAAGCAGGACGACCAGCAGAACTTGGTCTCTGGGCCGGACAAAACGGGGAGGTTTTGTGGACTTCTTTCCCGCCTGGAAAATCCGGCAAATCCGGTTGACCTTCAGCAGAGTGGGAGCGTAGGTCAGCGTGAAGCCAAGGGACACCATAGCCTCACCCACTGCACAGGACGCCTCGGTTGGGTAGTCCAGGAACGGGAAGATGGTCAGGTAGGCTAGGAGGGTCCCAAGAAGGGTGACAAGACTAACCTCACGGCCAGTGGCCTTGATCAGAGGATGTTTACGGAAGATGAACATGCCGGTCAGGCTCACTAGGGCCAGCAAGACTCCCAGTCCACATAGGATCAGCAGGACTAGGATGATAGGATTCTTTAGATTGATAATAGTTGGGACGATGGGCTGACAGGTCGTGAAGTCCTCGCTGGGCCAGAAGTGGCTAGGACAAGGTATGCACTCGTTGTTAACCGCTTTCTCGTTCGGGACGCACTGACGACACGTCCAGCAGCATTTCTCCTCCTCTGGGACCTCAATGTAACCCGGTTGACATTCGTCTCGACAAACTGAGATCGGTGCTTTGGGTTTTATCCCCGGCCACTCGATCCTCTTGTCGTCAATTTTCAGGGAGTGTTGTTCAAAATGAGAGTCCCAGTGCCCGATGTCGTGCCAAACGATTTCCCCTTGCTGGTCTACCCCGACTGAACTGAGAAGATACGCGCCCGCTGGGTCCCCGTCCGAATCAAAATGAAACTCACCGTCCGGTCCTTGAAAGGTCACATTGCGGAGATATGGCAACAGGTCCCTACCAGTGACATTACGTGCCGTCAGAGTCACGCAATTGACCGTCATTTCAGGACACAGGTCACGCAGCATGTCGTCCAACGCGTAAGCAAAGGCATACACCGATTTGTAAATCGGCATCCAGGTTCCCGTGAATGAGATTGGACATGTAGAGATGTCTGAGCAGTTTTTGGCCGTCATCCATGTCTCTCTGAAAGCAGCAAACCAAGGGCTTAGCCCACTCTGCTTCAACACATCACTGAAGTACTCCTGAATCGCGGGAATTTTCTGGAAATCAAGCTTCACTTTAATACTGCCTTGAATCATACTTAGGATGTCGTATTGATGCAAATCTTGTCCGAAGGCATCACTGCAAAGCAGGGTCCGCTTTTCGCCAGGGTGTTCATTGTGGTATATCTGCAAAGCGGTGTACATGCCAACAAACTCGCCGAACATCACCAAAACTTTCGCGCGATGATGTGTAGTGATTTTCTGAACAATTTCTTGGATTTCAGAGGGGGCAGCGTTCTCTCTTACCACGATAGAAAACGCAATGCAGACTCCCTCTTTGTCTGCTAATGACAACAGCTCTTGAGTGCCAAGGATACCGTAAGTATTCAGCGAGTAGATCAGACCGACGTAGATCCAGTTGTAACGGACTAGGATGTCCATGATTGCCCTGGCTTGAAACCTGTCTGGTGGCACTGTACGCAGAAAGTACGGGAATCGATCTTTGTCGCTCAGCTCGTCACTGGTAGCGGAGTAAGAGATCATGGGCACACCGTACAGGTTGATGGGTTTGGCTGCTGCCAGACTGGAAGCACTCTGTGCAGTGCCGATGATTCCGATCAAATTACCGGTAGCTGGTGGTCGGTGACGTCCCGTCACTCGGAAAACTGGGTCATCATGGGAGTAGCTACTCAAAAGAGACAGAACGGATAACAGTGTCATGTCTTCGTTGTAACATGTCTCCCTGATGTCGAACCCCAGCGTCAGGTTTGGTAGCAGGTCTGATCGCTCGTTCACCTGACGAACAGTGAACACAATCGTCTCGGCAGCCTCCACCGATGTCCGCCCCAACGGCCCCTGACAGGATGAACCAAAGTGGAACGGGACCATCCCGCCCAGGGTAACGTCACCTTCCACGGTGAAGTTAACCAGAACCGGCGGTGGAACCTGTCCAGTAGCGCAAAGTACGAGTCCGGCAAACGCAAACACAAACATTTTGCGGCACGTTTTCACAATGACGGTGTAACAACGATCTCCACCGTACGACGATACGCATCGTTTCTGACTCAAAAACAGAATAATCCGTCTATATATCTCCAGCAAGTATAGGCTGTGTCGTTATTATCATAATATAGGCCTAGCAATGCGAGATTGAAAGAAGGCGGAGTCAAGAATCTTAACATCTTGAATTTTGTACCGTTTCGGTGTATGCCATGGAACACAATGCACAAATCAAAACGAACAAGATGTGACGGCTTGGGTGGACGTACGTATGTATGCATGGCACTGCAAAGCAAAATCATTTTCAATCGCGCCTATTCCTTTTAACCGCAATCGAATTAAACACCCCTTCTACAACTTTTCTCCGGCCAAACATTTGCTTTGCAGATGTTTCAACCTAAAAATAACAGGCAGGATGTCCAATTATGTGAATTATTTGCCAACTGTGAGGAATGGACTTTTACTTAATACCTTAATACCAATTGCCATTTTGTCATAACAAGCGGGATCACGATTTCGACCCTTTTCTTAGACTCCTCTGAGATCAGCAGTTTACGGACAACTGAGATAGTGTTTAGACAAAGAAGTTGGGAAGAAAAGGTTAAAATACTAATAATAATAACAGGTACTTATATAGCGCTTTTAACTAAGATCAAAGCGCTTTTACATTATTAATACCCTGATGGTTTCAGGACTTCATCCATCGAATGAGTTGTAAAGCTGCATGAACATTCATTTCCATACAAAAATATACTTATCAGTTGTCAACAAGGGACACTAACGTCTCTCTCGTTTTTTTATGCTTCAATAAAACAATTAGACTTCTTTCAAGGTGACCACAGTCTTTATTTATCAAATTACGTGAAAGGTCGAAATCGTCTGGTTGAATTTGTTTCGCATGTGTGCATCGTAAGGGTGCGTAGACGACCTTTATAGTAGCTAACAATGGAAAGTAAGTCACAACGTTATCAAATGACACTTATTTCGTCAGTGACAAAGACGAGGAATTTCACTGGATAGGCCTAGAATGTCTTAGGAACAATTTCACTTCTCAACAACTGTACTGGAGAATTGTGTGGGTAAAATACGAAACGTGGGAACGGGAAAATGGATGGTAGCATTGAAAACGAATGTGTATCTAAGTTGATTGGAAATGGCATGGAAATGAGAAGTGTATTGGCTGGTAAGAATTTGGACCATCGGGACGGCACTCTTGCAAATTAGCTGAGCGATACACACCAAGTATAATAGCCAATGTCAATTTATATACTTACATTAGTTGCTTTGAATAAATCAGGTACGTACTGGGGCAACAACCTGTTTCCAACCAGATTAGCTTGGGGACTTTGGAATCGAAGTATACTTCCAGATACTCTGCTCTCGTTCAATAATAACAATTTGGAATAATAAGGTATGGATTTTGACAACCTCCTTGGAAGATGAAACAATAAAGGACTCGATCAACGGTGGCAGGAAAAGATCTCACGTTCAGGCTTAAGACATCGCTAAAATAATGTAAGAATAATTATGGGGAGTACAATCATAGCGAGCTGCTACCGCCAAAGCTTTAATTTAAGCCCTTATCTTAATGATTCCGCGAAGCTAAGTTTCGAATTACAATGTATAGTGAAATACAGCGCGTCCACACATCCGTGTTTCGGGGTAGTTATGGGGTACCACAATTGTCCACTTGACTTCCCTTCTTTTATTCTCCTTTGTTCCTATTGAAATCTCAAACTCCCTAGCGTTTTACTTATGGGGTACTGAGATTTCTAAAGACCGACTTGTAGGGTACCATATTGTCCCTATTGCTGCCCTTTGTTCCCGCCGGGAACTTCCCGGTGCCCCATAAGCATGATAAGTCAGCATACGTATAAACCAAAATGCCGACAACATTGTTTGCGAGGCTTTAGCATCGCCGCGGAAACACGTACCTCCATTATTTTTATATCATTTTAAAGCTTGGCATCTTATAACATTATCCCTGGTAAGTTTTGGGTTGATTTTCAAACGGGTTTTGAAATTATGTGTTCAAATAAAGGCATGTCAAAAACAAACTCAACCGATTTCAAGAAAAACCAACCATGCGCATTTGTTTCTCGCTTATATTCATGATGTGACGATCTCGATGCCTTTTACCTTCTGTGTTTCCTATTCTTTTCGATCCACGTGGACCACACCTTAAATGAATTCACAATATCGTTCATCGATTCAACTTCAATTTTGAAATTCACGTGCAAGTTCAAAAAGCGCGCTCAAAGTGTGACTCGAGTTTGCAACTGATGTACCGCATCATCGATTTTCCTTGCAATCGGTTGAGTTTGTTTTCGACATGCCTTAATATTTCAACACAAAATAAGTTTTAAAATCTTTTAAATATTAAACCGTTGATAGGAATAAAGTTAAGATTCCAAGCTTTAAAATTGTATAAAAATATTGGCGGTTTGTGTTCCCACGCCGACGCTAGAGCCCCGCAAAAAAAAGTATTTTGGGACGCGCTGTATAGAAATTAATGACAAAGCCTTTGGACCTTTGTTTTTTTAGAAAGAAGGAGGCGAGGTACGTGATTTTTTGGAACTACATAGGACTGGTTAGAAGGGTCAGACGTGACCAAAGTGTCTTTAGGTTTAGGTAATTTGTAATATTGATGTATTTTGGTTAATAAGTTGATCGTGGAAACGTGATTGCACAAGATATGCCTCGATAAACGTAAAACCTTCGCAGTGGATACCAGTGTCATGGACCTGTTCGTGTTCACAAAGCTATTTTGCTTGAAAACGAGATCAGCAAATAATAACCTGTATGCATGTAAACCATAAAGAACATCAACGATTGGAAATACTTTAAGAAAACGGATAGTTCTGGGTATAAGATCCCAATTGCGAAAAACGTTTTGCTATATATTCTTATTTTCGATCCTGCAATAGCAAGTATAATGTATTTATATCATGTGCTTGGTAATTCTATTTCCAAAATGTCGGCCTATATTACGTGCTTTAACGTTCTTTGTTAAATATTACGTCCAATTCTCCTTTTTCTATTTTGCTCATATTAAGTGTAATCCGGCATGGTGGTTGGTAAAATTATAACTTGAATACAACTTTGAAAAAAAAAACATGTGTTTTCCGATGTCACGCCACGCGTCGATTCCATCTGTACCCTAGACACCAAATACAAAAGTAATCACTAATTTAATATAACATGAAATGGCCAGGCAACAGACTATTCCGTACCTTGGTTGCGTTAGTACCGGCAGCTCACCAGGATCGACCAGGCCCGGATTACCCAATAGGCACAGTACAGGCGCTGTGTCTAGGGTCTACGAAAAATTTGGGGCCTACGAAAAATTCGGGGCCTACGAAAATACCGCAATGTGCCATAAAACACATATGGAAAACAAGGCCTATACCACACCACACCCGTGCGCACAGAACAGTTTTTAAAACTGAGTTCTATAGGTCTCTCTCAGAATTTTTGATTTCACCAACTGACGCTGTACAGCATGTAGACGTACATGCCGGCCCTCTACAATTTACGTGTAAACAGCCATGTGGTTGCGAAGGGCGATTTCTAAAGGTTATACGTAACACTTTATTTTGAATGAAACTACATGTTCACAGACATGTTCATGTTGGCGGGTGAAATCTTTGAAAATTAATTTCTCCTGCTTGGAAGACCGTATCTTCATGCAACTTTCAGGGTTTATTTCCCTTATAATAATCCAAGTATGTGCTAAAACTCGTTGTGATATGTTTATTATTTTTCGTTGCAATTGGAAAAATAGGCCTGGCTACGTGCATTTTTGAAAGTTGTAACACTGGCGTTTGCAATATCTGTCAACATTTTCAAGCCTCACGGAGCTTAATAAGTTCCTATCCATTATGGTGTGCAGTAAAACTTGGAGAAAAGCCTCCTTCACGAGTTATTAATTGATAAATATCACCCTTTTTGCCGGCTTCCATTGGTCGATACCGAGACCCACGCCAAAACACGCTGAGTGACGCTAATGAATATGCTATTCTACCATACGTTATTGGCGTGGCCGACATCGGTCAACCATACCGCCTAAGGCGCTTTGCTGAACAATGTACGTAGGTTGGGTTGGCAGAAAATCCTCCTCGGAATTTTCCATGGAGATAGTTCTGGTTGTAACACTAGCGGCTGCAACGACAGATTAAGCTGAAATTTGGAATATAGTTAGACGATATAAGTGTTCAACTAATCGTGCAATAACAATTTGGAAAAATTCCTATAAATTTATATAAATACATAGATTCAGGGAAGTTTTCGAACAGTTTCTTCCCGACTTGAAGGTCAGCTTTACCAGTAACCAGTTCAGTTGAGGTTTCGGCATCGATGACGACGATTTTTTTTCACTGACTTGAAGTTTAGAATTTCTTCTTCGGTTATAATTTAACATTTAAATCATACTGAGCATAATTATTTTCTGAGAAACACAACAGTGAAAATGCCATTTTGGGGGTTTTCACGAATTTCACTGCTCTGTTACAGCGTCAAAGTGCGTAATCGGATTAGCTTTGCTTAACAACCGGCACGCTTTGGCGATCGCAACCGCACGGCTGATAGAGCAAAGAACAGAACGATGCAGATATAATCCTATTACAAAACACAGCATTTGGGAGGTTCCTTCTTGTTGATTCTAATCTCAAACTATGACAGCTTTGCACTGATGGAAGCCCTTCAGCACGATCGACGATGATTAACTCCGAAGCTTGAGGTATCGACTATCTTGCCCAATGTGAGCATCACTGTGTTATATTTTTAACATTTTGTCCTTCTTTCCTTGAGGATATAAGTCTGATTTTGAAGTGGAGCTGCTGACGTGTAACGGTGTATCTATAATTATATTGAGGTATTTAAAATTGTCACAGACTTTTTTAGGGTCATGGCTTTGTTTTTGAAAGATAGTGCTTAAGTGTGTGAAATCTCGTGGAAATTTGTAGTTGAACGTTGACCTTTTGGCTTTTCGCATTTTTTGTAACAATTTGAAGTCATACACAGGCTGCTGTGATTGTAAAAAAAACCCGATTCTTTAATTTATTTCGCTTTTCAGCTGCTTGAGTCATTTACCATTTCCGATTTATGTCAAATTTAAAACATAATTCCAACGATTACAAGCATTTCTGTCTGCCTCCAGCTTTTAAATGCCTCAGCTCCGACCCTAAGAGTTTTATTGTCTCTGTTTCGCATTTTTTTTAAAATTTATTTAATGAAACCAACAGCTATTAACCGCCACTTACAGGTATCAAATTAATATTAAAATATAGTAATTTAGAAACTATTTTAAATTCTAAAATCCTTACAATTCTTAATATTCGTCAACAATACAACATAAATACAGTTGTCGGAAAAGTAATACATGAAAAGAAATGTCCAAAAAACAACCCCCCCCCAAAAAAAAAACCCACCCCAACACCCCCACAAACTACCAACTAACAAACTGACAAACTAACAAACTAACAAACTGACAAACTAACAAACTTACAAACTACAAACTGACCAACTGACAAACTGACGAACTAACAAACTGACAAACTGCTGGTTTTGGGGTTTTTTTTTGTTTTTGTTTTTTTAACTAAAACACCAGCATTTAAACACCACTGCCCTTCCTTTGTGCTTTTTATCAAGAATTGGGGTCAGTTTTGTTTGGACCATGGCATGAGTAATAACAATATTTATGAGGTGACAGATGGAATGTTCCATTCCACGAGGCGAAGCTGCGCCGGCACAAACGATGTCACGTGGTACGTCACTAGCCCGTGATTCAGCCCGCGATTCGGCCCACAATTTGATGGATTGAACCCCGAATCACAGTGGAATCACACAGGATTTTTTTTCACTCGTGCGGAAAGGAGCCCTGCTAATTTCCCTGGACATCGTGCGCACGGCACGAAAACGTTATTTTTATATTTATTTTGTGCATTAAAAAACAGAAATTATACTGGATAGTATATATATATATATTACTTACGACGATTTTAATGGCTTCTCTCGAGAAAAAAAAATCCTGCACAAATTGAGAGAATTGACCCGAATTTTGGACCCCTGTACACTTTCGATGGACTCGCTTAGCTTCCGCGCCTCATGGCCCTTATTGCATACATTATAATTTTTGGGTGAAAATGTCTACTGTGTGCGTGTGAATCATTCAGTATTTGTTTTATCAAATCCACGTCATCTGATTGGTCAGAGCCACCAAAGGTGTGACCGTGCAATGGAACTGCTATTTTCGCCGTTCGATTGGATTGGCACAAATATTTCAATGACACCAATCGACTGACGGAGATTTGTTCAGGCTTTTTATAATGTCAAATTGCGTCTGCTTCGAACACGGCGCCTCGACAAGTCAGAACGTTTCCAGTCCCCCCCCCCCCCCGGACCTTTTTGATTTTGCGGCGGTCGGCTGACCGGAGACAAATATCAATTGCTTCCTTTCCAGCACGTAGTGGGCATTCTGTAAGTTTGTTGTCAACCCCCTCTCAAATTGGTCGTGCCCACACAGACCCACAACTACAGATACGCTATACTCAGTGAAATGCCGATCGGGAGGAAGAGAACTGATATTGAAGAAGCGTAATGAATTTAGGTCTCTCTATATCTAGGTGTCCAATTGAACCACATACTTCATACCAATAATTAAAAACATGGGTATAACACACACACAAATAAAAAAATAAAATCCCTCGAAATCAGCCGGAGTTCAGTTACAAATCGGATCAAACCGGATCAAAGTTTGCCAATTGGAAGCGTGAATACTCGCACTGGCACTCCTTCACGTTTGCGTTGACGCAGAGTGTGAAATTGTCATTGTACTCTCTCTAAAACTGTCTTACCATTTCTGACGGTGTTCGTCTGCGTGTTGCTATACTGAGATCAAGTTAACAGTAAACAGCCATTGCTTTGCTTGTGAAACTAATAGCTGGTCGAAAAAACTTGTATTTTTTAACCATCAAATCAAATATGACAAGTTATCGACTATGCCTATTTCAGGCCTACGTTTTTTTTCAACAGAAGGCACACTTGGGCCTATATACATAAGCTATAATGCAGGTTATTTTTTTACCAAGAACAAAGAGAAGCCATAGCTTCCTTACCTGTATGAGAACGATAATCGATGCTATGAAGATCTGCTCCTTTGGTCGAGCCAGCCGAGGGCATTTAGTCGACCTTCTACCGGCTTGAAACACTCGATGGATACGGTTGACTTTGAGTAACGTGGGTGCGTAAGTCATGGTGAAGCAGAGGGAGACTAGTGCCTCCGCTGCCGCACACGTGTGGTCAGAAGGCGGAAGCAGTAACGGTAAGGGAACAAGACAGGCCGAGATCGTTCCCACGATGGACACGGTACCGAGCTCACGACTGCTAGCCTTGATCAAGGAGTGATGGCGATAGTAGCATAGACCGGCAAAACTCAGCCCTGCTAGGGCGATTCCAGTACTGCAGAGAACTAGGATAACGACGATGATGACTTCATATGTAGCCACGCTAGCCGGGACGATGGGCTCACAGGCAGAACGATTTGTGCTGGGCCAGTGGGTTCTCTTGCACTGCTCGCATGCATTATCCACCACGATAGCATCTTTGTAACAAGTTTGGCAACCCCAAGAGCATTTCTCTTGAAGAGGAACCGCAATTTGACCGGGGAGACATTCCTGCTTGCAATGGGACTGCGGCGTCCCGTCTGGCCAAAGAATAGCTGCATCCACCATTGAAAGTTTCTGCGTCCGGTGCGAGTCCCATAGTCCCACATCTTGCCATTCTATCTTGTTATTTTCTTCTAAGAGACCCTTGATTGTATACGCCCCCTCCGCATTTCCGTTAGCGTCGAACTCGAACGGTCCTCCTACGCCTTCAAACTGCACATTGAACAGATACGGCAAAAGATCTTGTCCACTGATATTGTGTAAGCGGTGTGAACAATCAGTGGTTCTACTACTACACCGTTGTCGTATTAAATCGTCCAGAGCATAGGCAAAGGCGTACACTGCGTGATAAATAGTACTCTCAATCATAGCGTATTGAGGGAGGGAACACAGTGTCAAATTCACACATTCGTTACTTTTCATTATAAAGTCTTTCAACTCATTGTACCAGGGGCTAACCTGTGATGCAGCTTCCAAACTTTTAAAGTAGTCTTGAAATTCGGGTACATAACTGCGATGCTGCTCCAGACGCAAACTTCCCTTCGTCATGTTACCTAGATAGACCTCAGAGAGTTTCCGTCCGTGAATACCGTCACTGCAGATCAACGTAACCCTGTAACCTGGCTTACGACATTCCAGTTCTTCAAGTATATCGTACATCTCCTCTCCACCAAAAATAATAATGACATGCACAATTTCAAATTCATCAATCTTAGAAAGCAACTCTGCGATCTCTGACTGTGTAGGCTTGCTTCCAGTCACAGACTTAGAAAAGACGACACACATTTCTTTTTCGTCCGCAAGTTTAAGCAATTCCTGTGATCCGCGTATGCCGTAAGCATCTGATGTGTACAGAACGCCAATGCAAGTCCAGCCGAATTTCTCCAAAATGTCTACCATGGCCCTGGCTTGCAACTTGTCCGGGGGAATGGTCCGGAGGAAATTTGGAAATCTGGCTTTGTCACTCAATTCGTCGCTCGTCGCATAATGCGAAATCATCGGCAAATCAAACAGGTGGGCCGTCTTGGCGTTAAATATGCTGGTCGTGCTCCGAGAAGTGCCAACTACACCTAGCAGCGTGCCAAAGTTCTTCTGGTCAGGAGGGGGAAGGGTAAGGCCATTCTGAGACTCAAAGTACTTACCAAGAAGAGACAACAGGGACCAGAGGGCGGCATCTTCTTGGTAGCAGCTTTCCTTGATGTCGAATCCAAGGGTGAGATTTGGCAAGATGTCCGATCGGTTGTTGATCTGTTCGACAGTGTACACAAGCGTCTCTACGATTTCAACCTGACGGAATGTCAATCCTGACCGGCAGGAGTCGTCAAAATGAAAAGCCAACACGGCACCGATGATGAGATCTCCTGGACGGGTATAATTGACCAGGACAGCGGGTGGTACAGCTCCGAGTCCCCGGAAGAACACGGAGACAAGAACCAAGGAGGAGATCACTGTCATCAACATGTTGCTGCCTTAATAGTCAGTTTTCACTGATTCTCCATCGTCTCTTGACACTCTACAGCAAACTGTATCGATGTTTATCGTTTGACTATAGCCATATCTAACGTGCTAATTCACAAGCGAGGTATATTAAATATTAACTACTCCTTTGAGGCATAGTGTCCCCGCACTCCCCGCGGTGCATAATATCTGCACATCAGCTATCTTAGAGTACCTTTGACGTTCTCACTCTGTGTGTTCGGGGAGAGTTTGCTTTAATGTGATAAATTGTTGAAATGCAAAACCGTAGGCCTATGTGAGTTTGTCAAAACACGAGGTAAATGGTAATGCTTTAAATCATGTATTTCCAAAACCAGAAGTTTACTATTTAATTTGCACAACAAAGTGGTTTTCATGTTTCGATTGGGTCTTGTCATTATCACATCTCTTTCTTTCTGTTTTCAACTCCGTCGATGTACGTTGACTTTGCGTTCGTGTTGACCTATTTTTTTTAAGTGCGTGCGGCAGAAATAGGTTCTAAAAATAGATTGTGGATATGTTTGTATTGGATGCTCAAGATTGGCTGACACAAACACATGGTTTTGGGGGAAGGGGCTAATTGGACTATTTTATATGCACGTATTTCATGACGAAGTTATATTCTTTGGATTTATTGATTTGAAATGATTGTTATGGCGGGTCAAAGTATTTTATTAATAAAAATAAACACCTGCAATTGATTTAAAAAGATCGGCATATGCCCCTTCTTTTGTTGATTGTATGCTGCATTAGGGGAACAATGATCGACCAACTGTTTGTATCACGATACAGTTAATGTAATGATTTGACGTCGACAACATACCGCAGTCGAATATTAGTGGGAAAAAAGGTTTTGGTGCCCAAAAAGGTTAAAATTAGCAATGACTGTAATCTACTTTCCCGGTACACGTGTACGTTAACATTAATTTAGAACTGAAGCTGACGGTAACCGACTTTTTTTATTACTAAATACATGTACCACGTTCCGAATTCCACCCAGACTATAATTGTGGGTATTTTGGTGCCTTTTCTGTACTTTTAACTCAAAATCCAAATTATTACATTCTGCAGTGCTCCTGTCAAATTGTTCTTGTCTGCTAGAGCGTAAGATGGCAATCGGGGTTTTTTTGGCCAGAATGTTGCGGAGCACAGATATAGCCTCGCGCTCGCGACCGCATACACTTGGACCTCCATGGACCGATCGACAAGTTCCGGCGAGGACTATGGTTCACCATAATTCGACTAACGTCCCTCGATGCAGGATGGTTAATTGGATTAATCTAGTCGACTATTGGGAACTAGACCACAGAGCGCGGTTATCAATAGCTGCGTATTACCAATAGCTGGTTACAAGGGCGGATCCAGGGGGGGGCCAAAGGGGGCCATCCCCCCCCCCAAAAAAAAACGAAACCAATTTTTTTTTTTATGTGACATCGCAATAAAGGCAGGCAATGAGTACACCACCATCTTTTCCTCATAAAACATTGGTTAAAGTGGTCAGAAATTGCCTCAGATCGCACCACAGAGCATCTAGAATCAAAAAAAAAACCACGCCGTAATTTTTTTGACCCACTTTTTGGGGGGACCCAAAAATTTTTGGGCCCCCCAAAAAAAATTGTGTTCTGGATCCGCCCTTGGCTGGTTACCAATAGCTGCGTGTATCATAATGTACAGCATGGAGCCAGGCTTAATTAAATTAACCACTATAGTCAACTAATGGTTCTCGCCCAAACGTGCTCTACAAAAGCAGCCTCAATATTATCGACGACGTAATGGTGATGGTAATAATTTATCATGCCCTAGCTGTTATGTGGTGAGCTATTGGAGAATTGAAGCCATATAGGAAATGAATGAAGAATTCAATCAAAAATGCATGAATAACTTTAACCAAACATTTAAAAATGTACGGACATGCAAGAGAAGCTGTAACTACAAAACAATAGAAATGTTTTTGTAAGACAAAGATAAGGCTGATACAAGATTGAAATATGTGAAATTGAATAATTTCCTTTTAAACATTATTGCTAAAATAAGATAGACTTTAATTTACTACAAATTAAAGGACGCTATATACTGGTCACATACGTTTGTGAAATAACCTCTTTGACTATTAAATTCACAGGTTTTCTGTAGGAAAAAAGTCTGGTTAACACGCATTTAGAGGGGCCAGCTTTAAATTATGAATGGTATAAAATATACTTACGCTTCACTAAACGGATTCCTGCTATATGCATGTGAAGTGAGTCATGAATAGTAACTTGGTATGCATTCAGACGCTTTCCCCAAACCAAATGAACTATTTTATCAACAAACAGGATCTATCTGAAGTTCGGAGAATGATGTGACATCAGGGAGAAATGTTTTAGTCTACACAAACCTTAGTCTTATATCCCATCGTGACTATAAGCATGATCCCTGGCTACATTCAGACTATAGACCTTTATCATGCTGCCACCATTTCAGTCATGTTCCCTGTATCCAAGAACAGTACCGAATGGTAGTTTTTTGTGCAAAACGGAACCAGACTATTTTTCCTTCCAGCCTCGTTTTGGTTACATTGATTTCAATGGGAAAAAATCAAGATGGCCGCAACATGACAATGGTCCGGCGCCCATGAACGACTTGGTAAAAATGAAAAACCGCACCGGAACTGCAATTCGGAGGTCACATGATCAAACCCTGCTCCAGATAATTTCTTCGTGCAGCATGATTAACTAATTTATTTAGATTTGACTCATTGTATGCTAAGCGCCAACGTTTTTTGAAGCTGATCTCGCTTTCAAACCTCTTTTATACTTGGCCCAAAACATGCGATGACTGTTTGACAGTATAATTATTCGATGAGGTAAAACAAGTTTCCATTGCAGTGTCGCCATGGATACGGCTTCATAAAGGGGCACAATTTAAGACCAGACCAGGCAATCATAATGCTTCAGTGGAAATGATTGTGCTTGATCGTAACAAAATCTTATCAACCAATAATGAGTGTTTACCCGAAAGGCACAATGTCAGCCTTTAACTTAAGACTAACATCCGGAAATGGTTTGAATTGATCTTAGATACGCTAAAAACAGTCACATATGTAGCACTTCTGTCCTCATGAAACTGAGAGCACGTTTTCAAAGTTAATGATCAATAGCTGCTCGCGTGAAAATGTACCAAAAAAGAGAGTTCCTTTACTATGACCGAAGTTTGACCCTACGCAATGCTGATGGCCACTGCTGCAGTGAAATCAGTCAATGGTTAAGTAAATAGTTATGTCGTGGATTTGCCAGTTGCAGAGATTTCAGCGTGCATATTAGCGCATATGACAGTGGTCTGGACAGCGCTTGAGTTCCCAGTTCCTACCTCAACACTCATTAGGAACACATTCTTGTAAAAATTGGTCCGGCTAACTTATTCTTTATGATGAGGCTAGCGGTTTTTGCCGCCGAAGTCAATGAGCGTGTTAGGCCGACTGATAAGGTTTGTGCACAAAAGCCCAGACGCTTGCGGTTTTGTGTAGAATGATTGGAGGACCATTTTTTTACGGCAATGTACTGGTGGTGGCATCGAGCAAGGCTGTATGGTTGCAGACCAGTAAATAAACTGCCATAGACCCCAATGATAAATGCCCCACTTCAGAAATTCAGGAAAAATATTCACAACTCTCCAAGGTGTTCGAGACACACATCAAATTAAGGTTTTTTCATCATCTTTCACTTCTTTTCTTTTTTTTTTGGGGGGGGGGGTAAACTAATGACTTGCAGGAGAAATTTTCATCTGAAGATGATCTTCCCTTAAAATAGTCCTGAAGCCATCGCCATTTGGAAAAACATGCCTACACTCCATCGCAAAATAGAGCGCTTTAAGGGCCCCACTAATATCATCCCAACTGCACAGAACTACTAGCTCACAGTCAAGTACACGGCTACCACCCCTATATTTTACAAACCCTCAATTCATGGCCCATAATGTGCTCAAATATACCGAATCGTGATTTGGCCGGCGGCAGTTTTGGACCGATTTACTGGCCTGCAACCATTATGGCCAAGCCTGCGTGCAGCCAAATTGACGAGTGGCATCCCTACATTTTCTCAGGCAAATAGGACCCATTTTTCAACGGTAATTTTATCAATTCTGCCCTATATATAATATCACAAAAGCTAGTGAGTTGATCCTCGGCTATATTTGCACAATTCCATCGTTGTTTTTTATTTTTTTTAACCAAACAGTCTCTTTTTTTCCCAAAAAAGTTATGGGGGTACTTTAGATTCAAATTAGCTCGCGTAGTAATTTTGTGAGTCCTCATCAATTGCGAATTTATTGCGCCCGCTGTCGGTCTAAATGCGCCATTCGGATATATCGTCTGTCTAGGTATTGTAGATCGGAAATTGTGAAGGCTGTTGGTGAAGCTGTTCTTGGATCTGGGTATACTGACAGAAAGTTGGGGTCGCAGCCAGGTCGGCCAGGTACATATATATGGCTTGATACAGTGTTCAAGGTACTGAGGAGCTGTGTGGTGAAGACATTTGAAGATGAGAATAGCTATCTTGAATTGAATTGTCTGTCAGACAGGAAACCAGTAAAGTCAAGATGGTCCACCCCAGTCAACGGCAAATGCAATGCGAGCAGCACGATTTCGAAGTCGTGGGAGTCTCGTGAGATGTATTTCGGTAATAACAATTAACGGGTAAATGCAGTAGTCAAGCCGTGAAAGAACAAGAGCACGGATGGCATGATGACATGAATCGAAATCAAGGTATCTGCGGATTCATGAAATGTTGCGAAGTTGAAAATTAATGGACCGCTGCATGCTGAGAACATGTGTAGACATAAACATGTGTTCATCAAAATGTATATTTTGTGGGTCATCCATATATGTGGGTCATCCATACCTCCAGGACCTGGATGCAGGAAGACAACCTTGTAAGTGCAAATGACACTGAGTACAGATCCTTTGGGCTTAAAGTGCAATATGATTGCATAGCGCGAATTATGAAAGT